CTCTATAAACCCAAAACCACCCAAATTTAAAATTGTGAATTAGGTGGGAGTGGTGCATTTCAGATCATCAGATTTTGTATTCAGAGGTTGAACTAGTTATCACCCTTGCCAGTAGCTGACCTTGCCTGCTCTTTTGATTTTGCTTCTCCTTTGAGTGGACTGCTATCTTCTTCTTCACCCAAGTTCATGCCTGACAACCCTAGTCTAGATGATCGTCTCCTCTGCCCCTCCAGCCTTGTGAGTCTGGTCCCTTTGGTCTGAAAATCTTTGGCCATGACCTATTGCACAAACAGACCGTCAGGACCTTTCTTCTGTGGCGCTACTCAGTGGGATCCCCATTTTCATGCAAAACATGTCGTTACAGTTTTTGTTTTTCACTAAGGAAAAAAGAAGTCTTTACCAAGAAATGCTTGTCACAGTAAAACTCTACCGAGTGCGGCAATCCCTCATTGTGGGGAGATTTTCAGTCGGCATTCTGCACTGGGTAAAAAGGTCAGTGCATCATTGTGATCATCCCCAGATGAATCAGGAGTACCCGGAGGTTGAGCGGAGGAATCGAGACTGCGACGAGCCACTAGTATGCCTCTTACAGATCAATTTGCTCTAAATCGAAAGTAAATTTTCCATCAAATACAACATGTCTAAATCTCATTTTTATCTACTTCCTGCCCTCCAGCTTTTCGTAGCATGCTCTTTGGAGATACGAATATCAGAGACCCAGGAATTCATACCCACGCAAGCTCTGTGGCTAGCAGGTGGTGTATTGAACTACAGATTTAACATGATCTTCAGAAAATAAAAAAGAAGATGTTTCCTATTTTTATTCTTCAGTGAGCTAAAGACAGATGGAAATAAATGAGTTTCCACAGCAAGCACCAAGGTTCATTTCATTAGCCAAATGCCTTGGGTTTGAAACCCTTGAAAACAAGGTGTTCAAATTCAATTAAACTGAACTCATATTGAAGAGGAAATAAGGCCTTATAGGAAATACTAACCCTGGCTTTCATGAAAGGTTGGAAATTCATTTGAAGGGGCTTATACAAATCCACAAGGAGTCCTCGTGGACTAATGGTTACGCGTTGGGCTGCTAACCTCTGGGTGAGCAGGTCAAACTACCAGCAATGTCTCCACCGGAGGAAGTCAGGGTTTCCATTCCAGTAAAGAAGCCCACAGGGACACTTCTACTCGGTTTTATTGGGTTGCTGTGAGTTGGCACCCTCCGTGGCATTGCGTTTGGTTTTTTGGTTTTGTAAAAGTCTGTAGAAAAATGGTGGGATTATTAAATAAACTTTTGGAAACTTCCCAAGCATAAAGCGGGCCTCATACGCCTGGGAAGCAGCCTACTCCCTTTTGATTTTCTTCTTTGCCGATGCCTAGTGTGTTAGTCTGGGTACTTTAGGGAGACAAATCCACAGAAACTCATGTATGTATAAGAGAGAGTTTTATATAAAGGTAAGTGCACATCAAGAAAACATCCCAACCCAGTGCTGCCCAAGCCCACAAGTCCAACATTGACGCATATGTCTGACACCAATCCACAAAGTCCTCCTCCATCTCACAAAACACACACTGTGATGCCAACTGCAGGAGGAAAGCCAAATCAGTGAGCATGTAAGCATCTCAGCGCTGGCAGGGGGCTCCACACGGCTGCTCCAGCACCCAGGGCTGCATGGGGTTCGTCCATGTGTCATTTCCTTGGGGAAGTCTTGCAGGAAGTGAGCTTAGCCAGCTGAAGCAGGAAACTGGCTAAAGCAGCTACACCCTGGTCCGACCATCACAAGGCAAGAGACCTGAGAACTAGAAAGGCGAGGTTCACTGAGCCATAGGCCTCAGTGAAAATGTGCAGTTAAGAGCCTCTTGCTTATATTCCAGCTCTCTTAAAAGATGCTGGTTCTTAAACCCGAGAGGCATTAAAATCAGCTGGAGAGTTTTCAAATCACACTGCTGGGTTCCATCCACAAGGCTCTGGTTCTGTCCGTCTGTGTTGGGGCCTAAGATATGTATATCTAGTATGTTCTCAAGTGATGCTTGATGTTGCTGGTTCATACATCCCACTTTGAGTCACACTAATAAAAGCATAACTTTACTTAAAGTGTTACATAAGACCTCCTCAAAGTTTTGAAAAGCAAGGATGTTATGTTGAGGAATAAGGTGCGCTTGACCCAAGCAATAGTACTTTCAATCGCCTCATATGCGTGTGAAAGTTAGGCGCAGAATAAGGAAGACTGAAGAATAATCTATGCATTTGAATTATGGTGCTGGTGAAGAATATTGAAAGTACTTGAATGGACTGCCAAAAGAACAAAAAAAAATCTATCTTGGAAGAAGTGCAGCCAGAATGATTCTTAGAGGCAAGGATGGTAAGACGTCGTATCTTTGGACACGTTGTTAGGAGAGATTAGTCTCTGGACAAGGGCATCATGCTTGGTAAAGTAGGAGGGCAGTGAGAAAGAGAAAGACTCTTAGATAAGATGACAAGATCAATTGACAGAGTGGCTGCAACAATGGGATCACACGTAAGAACAGAGTGAGGATGGCAGCGCAGGGCGGGGCAGTCGTTCACTTTGTTGTACATAAGAGTCGGACTAGCCCTGTAGCACCTAACAACCACCATGCGCCGTTGTCCATGACCCTTCTGCTTGTAAGTCTCACATTACAAAACTCCAAAACTAAACTCACTGCCATTGAGTCGATTCAGACTGTTGCTACCTGACAGGGCAGGGTAGGACTCTGGGTTTCCAGGGCTTTGAATCTTTACAGGACCAGAAAGCCTCATCTTTTTCCAGCAGAGCAGCTGACCCATGGGGATTGTTGTAACCAAATGCCTAGCCCACTAAACTACCAGGGCTCTTTAAGTCTTCTCTAAACCCAAGTATATTATTTGAAGTCACGATTTAGTAAGAGAAATATCCAGAGTCAAAAAGATATCCTAAAGCCTATTTCGAAAAGCAATGATGCTAAAAAACAAACAAACAAGCAGTCAATAGGCTGTTAACGTTGCCTTTCCTACAGAATCTTGGTCTAAAGCAGTGGTTCTCAACCTTCCTAATGCCACGACTCTTTAATACAGTTCCTCATGTTGTGGTAACCCCAAACCATAAAATTATTTTCGTTGCTACTTCATAACTGTCATTTTGATACTTTAATGAATTGTAATGTAAATATCTGATATGCAGGATGCATTAGGCAACCCCTGTGAAAGGGTAGTTCGACCCCGAAGCCTTGGGGTCATGACCCACAGGTTGAGAACTGCTGGTCTAGAGGAAACTATATATGTAAGGCTCATGCTTGCCATCTGGTGAGACAGTTGTAAATTACAAGTGGTCTGCATCAACCAGTAGTTTTGTATATCATTGTTTCACGTCAAAAACCCATTACACAAATTTTATACATTTTGCCCTAACTGTACTGTTTCATAATTCATTAAATGGCTAATACAAAACTATTCCCTTAGCTAACTATATGCATTTCAAACAACCAGTATATCTGAAAGGAGTCCTGAAAGTTTGTATGAATGTTATTTTAATTCTTCATACTGGCCAATGAAATTTCAAATCAGTGTCTCAGAACAAAGTTCATATGTGTGATAAATTTTATTAATACAATATTTTAGGAAGATATAATACAATATTTTAGAAAGAAATAATAAAATTTTAAAGCTGAATCATATATAACTCACTTATAATAGTAGTACACGGATAAGGAACTGAAATTATACTGGTAACAGCAAAGTAAAAGAAACGAATCAAAACAAAAAACAGACTGGGGCCAAGGCATCCTCCGATTTTCAGGCTTTAATCTTAATCTTCCTAAGTGGAGGACTCTACGGGGGTCATTTGTTCAATACGGGCATATGCTTCTGATCCCAAATTCAACTTTAGGGTCTAAACCTGGATTTTAATTTTCAGATTTATTCAAACATTATATTGCGGTACCAATCATGATTCTCTCTCTCTCTCTCTCTCTCTCTCTCTCTCGTTCTCTCTCTCTGTCTCTCGCTCTCACACACATATTCTCTCTCTTTTACAATCACGCAAACACCCAGAACACACAGATAGTATTTTTGAGTACGTTATATAGCCAGTCACTAGATTTAGTATTTCACTTGTCATTAACTTGCTTAAGCCTCACACTTTCTCTGTATCATTATACATATGAAGAAGGTGAAAAATTTTAAAGATTAACAAGTTTCTCAAGATGCCAAAGCCAGGCTTTGCACCTGCCTACCACCAACTTGTTGCCTAGATTACTTTCTACAAAACCATTAGCACGCACGTTTTAGCTACCATCGGTGCTTCTTGGCCACCTTCCCTTCCCCAGCTGCTCCAGAGCGCTCTACCGCTTAGGCCAGGTTCCGTGACAGAAGAATGCCTGTTGGCAGTTTGGGTGGCAAGGCGAGCTCCCCAAGTGCAGCGCGGGACCGCTTTGGGGGACCGAGGCTTTGGGTCTCGTCGGATGCTCGGCGGTAAACGAGCCATTCTCCAGGGTAACAACTGGCCCCAGTCACTTGGGACGTTGTGGTTTATTTTGACCTGAGTTAGAGATTGTAGAAGCAGAGAAGAAACGGGACTGATGATAGCGATGAGCTGCTGGTTGGGACTGGCCTCTCCACATTAAAACACGTTTATTCAGTAGATAATGACTGACTTATTACTGAGCTGTCCGCGACTCGAAAATCCTACCAAAACCCAGGCCTACAGGAGACCATCCAGGTGGGAGACCGCCGTAAACCGGACTTTAGCGAGAAGACACTCGCCAGGGCCTTGGACTAGCGCATGCTCCGTAGCCGCCACCGCCCTGGCGCGGCCCCCAAGCTCGGGCTCGGCGGCGGAAAAGCGGTTGCCCCCTGCTGGTCGGACCTTCGCAACGCAGCTCGAAAAGAGACCTTTGCGAAAGGCGGGCGTAACCGCTGGATGACGTAGATGAAGCGACGCAGGGAAGGTGGTTGTGCTCGCGTCAGGGGCGCGCGCCGTGGGAAACCTGACGAGCCGCCCAGCCGCATGGCGGCTGGCTGTTCAGGAGTGCGGCGGCCCAAGGCTGCCCCCGAAGAGCCAGTGGTGGGGCCGGCCGGCATCGTGCCTTGCCTAGAGCTGCCAACCTACGCTGCCGCCTGCACGCTGGTGAGTACCCGCTACTCCTGCCTGGTGGCCGGGCCGCACCGCAGACACATAGCGTTGTCGCCGCGCTACCTCCACAGGAAACGCACCGGCATCCGAGAACAGCTTGACGCCGAGCTCCTGCGCTATTCCGAGAGGTATCCGCACCCTTGCCTTTTCTTGCTAACTTGGGATCCACGCCATATCGTAGCCTGAGGCGCCTTTCGGGGAGCAGAGGCAGGGGGGACGGCGAGTGGGCGTGCAGATGGCGCAGCAAGAGGGGCAAATGGGGAAACCCTCGTCCCGCAGGATCGACTTGTCCGAGGCTTTCTGGGGCCCCGGTCCAGTTCACAAAGCCGGTGGTGCGTTAGTCGAGCTTTTTGCCTGGTGGTTTGGCAGTTGTGAAAGAAAACAAACATGGAATGATTTCTGGGGTGGTGGTGGGGGTGGGGGTGGGGGTAGTGCTCGAGTTCACTGCAGAACCGACGAGGGTCCCAGAGGTTCAGTGCACTGTGACTTTGGCCGCCCTTAGCTCCTTCATTTGACAAATGAAAGTTTGGAATGCCTCAATAGGGCACACGATTCTACAGAAAATCACGCTGGTAGTATAAGTACGGTTATTTCATTGTAACGCATGACGACAAGTTTTGTTTTTATGTTTGAACTAGTCAATATCAATGTTCTCTTCACTTGGATGAGTTTTGTGGCGGTGCGAGGAACTCTGGTTTCTTTTAAGATACCGGGAGCCCAGAATCTGTAGTTGGAAGCGTGTCCTTCTAATGTGCCTAGGGTCGCCATGAGTCAGAACAGCCTCGCGGGCATCTCACAACCACTACTGGATAAAGAAAAGTTGTGCCGTAATATACAACTATACTATGTGCAAAAAGCATACTGACTTCGGAAAGCGAGGTCTTGAATGTTTCTAGGAACTCACCTTTCAGCCACCCGCCCTTCCTCTCCTCAAATCGCAGAAATTTCCTCCGTGAATTTTCTTAGGGAGAATACACAGTTGTTCAGCACCTTCTCTTAAGATCCTAGACCAGACATGTTAAGTGTCAGCCAATCATAAACAACTTCTGTTAACACCCACAAACAACCCCCTTTCTGTGCCAGGGATTTGGTATACAAAACCCAAAAAAATGAGATTCTTGTTTCCAGGGGTTTTTTGATCTAGTAGAGGGATATAAATGTAAACTATATTTAGTGAAGTGTTAGCTTCTGTATCAAGCAATAGAAAAAGGCTTGTGAATTAGAGCTTTGAGGATGATTTGACACAGGAGGATACTTAGTGGCATCCCAAGTAGAGAGTGGCATAAACAATGGATAGAGATGCAGCATAGCATGCCCAGGCCCAGGAACTGTAAGCACTACAGAACTGCAATTCGGTTTTAGATTAGGGAAAAGGTATTAGGTACAGCTGGAAAGGAGAGCGGGGCATTAAAGATAAGGGGTCATGGCCAGGGCTGCTCTTCCCTTCCTGTCCCTGCCTAGTTGATTAGGAGTGGTGCTGGTCATGGTTAATTTTTATACGGTGAGCAGGATTACAGCTCACCCGTGTCTGAAACTTGCCTGCACTTGAGAGAGTAGTAATATTTATCAGTTGACCATGAGACATCATCAGATTCATGAATTCAGCAAAAATACTTGGTAGTGTTAAATGATAATGTAAGGCTTAGACCATAGGTAGGGAGACCAATTAAGACATAATTGCTGTTTCAGAGAAAATTATTATAGGGTTTGGATCTGAGAGATTTAAAGGTATACCAGGTGACATACATAAAACCTGGAAACATTAGCAACAGTTTAATGTGTTATACTAATTTTCAGAACCATATAATGGTTCCACTTGGTAAGTTAGGGGAAAAGTTTCCACAAGTGGCTGCTCCAATAGGGTGGGTAAGCCATTAGATTAGAATGGTTGAACAAATAGACGAATTAAATGAGTTGGAACCAAACAGCAATTGAGGGATAATTTGTATAACTCCACTGGGCTGAGTGAAGTCATGTGAAACAGGCTACGTATACTGAACAAGTATCACCCCTCAGTTACTGATGAGACATGCTAAAGGCGCAGGTTCGTTCAGTGCAGAGACAAATCAGGTGAAGCTGCAAAACAAATGCATGTCCAGAAATCCTTGATTAATGATCCTCACTCAAAATTATTTGTATCATAGACACGGATGCAAATAAGTGACTATATTGTCAGTTGTAGTGTGATACCAATAAACCATTAATTATAGACTTTATGGCGGTCCTGTGGAATTAGAAAGAGGTAAAAAAGGAAGGAATTGAGAAGGTCACTCCAATCAATTTTTAAATCCTCTCAAACGCATTTCTTGTTTGACAGACTCACCTTTCCTTTACCAGTGACAAGATTTTTTTAGTTTAAAAAAGGGTGTTTCTGTTTCAAATTTGGGCTGTCTAAGCTTAAGGAAGAAAGTAAATAATTTTCTAAAATCATACACCTTATAATTTGTGCCTCTGAAGGCTCTAGAAAAGTAAAACACCAAAATACTATTTCTGTGCTATGCGACAACTCTTGAGTAACATGCTAATGGCAAATATGCCCTTTTCCCATGGTTCAAATAAACCTTCAATGTATGCTCCTCCGCATCTTTAACTTGGTTGAATTGTTGGCTAAATATATCAAGTGAGGCCCCTAGTCTGCTGTGATTTCAAAAAAGCAAAAGGAGACAAAGATGTATGCACAGCGTTAGAGCATCGGTCTGTATTTCAGGTGGCTTTCAGTACCTGAAACTGAAAACCAAGCCCCCACCATGGAGTCACTTCTGACTCATAGCAGCCCTTTGTAGTTTCTTAGACGATCAGTCTTCACAGGAGTAGACAGCCTCATCTTTCTTCTGTGAGTGCCTGGTGAATTTGAGCCATGACTTTGCAGTTAGCAGCCGAACACCTGGCGCACACTTTTCCCAAAGGTTTAATGAATTTACACAAATCCTTATGTGCTAGGCTCTGTTGTCACATTCTCTTGTCAGCAGTTCTCAACCGTATTAGACCTAGTAGACCCAGTACCTCCCTTTTGTGACTAGTGTATTGCATTGCCGCCTTCACTGCCCTGCAGTATTCTGTGTTCTCTGCTGAAGTAAAACGGACGGATGATATCATCCACCACCACAGTTTAGAGGAGTCCCTCAGTGGTGCAAGTGGTTACACACTAGATTACTGACGAGCTGAAAGGTTGGAGATTTGAACCCATGAGGAGGCGCCATGGAAGACAGAGCTGACTTACTGCTCACTGCCATTGAGTCGGTTCCGACCCAAGGAGCCGCTTTAGGGCAGAGTAGGAGTCATTGTCGTCATTCACCCCCACCCCCACCCCGCATCCTGTGTTTCCATGATTGTAGCCTTTTACAGGATTAAAAAGTCTCATCTTTCTCCCATGGAGTATCTGGTGGTTTTGAACTGCTGAACTTGCAGTTAGCAGCCCAGCATGTAACCACTATGCCAGTAGGGTTTTCTGACAGTGCTCTGAAAATAGTCATATGACTCAGAACATTCGGGTAAGTCAAAAGAAGTAAAATATGTCTTTTTTTTTTCTTTTTCTCTTATTTTCATTTTCATAGTCTTTTAGGTGTCCCTATTGCATATGACAACATCAAAGTCGTGGGTGAGCTGGGAGATATTTATGATGATCAAGGACACATTCATCTTAACATTGAAGCCGATTTTGTTATTTTCTGCCCTGAACCAGGACAAAAACTTGTGGTATGTATATTATTTCTTTCCAGCTTTCTACGTATAATTATATAGTTAAGTAACATGAAAAAGTTAAGAGACTCCACAGACGAAAGCAACATGATGCTGTAACAGTCACTTGGTTGGCTGTTAAACAAAAGGTGTTCAGTTTGAACCAAGAAAATGTTAAATGCTCCATGGGATAAACACCTGGCCATCTGCTCCTATGAAGATCGCATCTAAGCAAAGGCCACCGGGCAATTCCACGTTGTCACACAGGGTCACAATGAGTCAGAATTGACTGGGCGTCACCCAACAAAACCAATTCTAAACCTGGAGGCTCGAGTGAATTGCTGATATTACTGGTAGGGGCTGACAAGTAGGTTTCTACGCAAGAGTGACCCAAAGCACTGCCCAGACTTTCCCCAGCATCAAAGGGTTATCTTGAGCCCATTGTTGCAGCCACTGGGTCAGTCCATGTCCTTGATGGTTTTCTCTTTTTTAATTGCTCCTCCATTTACCAAGTGTGTTAGGCTGGGTTTTCTTGAGAAACAAAACTAGGGCACTCATAAATATCTAAGACAGAAGTTTAAATCAAGAAAGAAAAGCACATCAAAAACTCGGCCCATACAGCCACAGGGCTGGCAAGCACAGTCTACCTCCAGTCTATGGGTCAGCTGCTAGCTGGAGACCACCGTCCATAGTCAATAAAATGCAAGTAAACATCTTTCTAATATTCTCTGCGTTGAGCCATGATCCATTTAACATCAGCAGTGATGTCCCTCATTATAAGTCCTCTTCTGAACCTGACTTGAATTTTGGGCAGCTGTCTGGGGTTGCTATGAGTCAGAGTAGGCTTAATGAGTTTAGCTTGAGTATGCAAATTTGAATAATAGATGCCTTACACTAGATTTATTTGTATTTATATACCTATCATCCCATCACGGATAGTCTTGTGCTTCAAGGCAGATCTTTAAATGTTCTTTTGGATGATGAGAGCAACACGATTCTTCTAGAATTGTCACTCCTGCCATAGTAAATTTATCTGATTGTCTGATTAAAATGACTAATTCTGGTCCATCGCTATGCATTCATTTCTTATGACTTCTGATTTTCCTATATTCATACTTTGAACATTACACATTCTGTTTATTGACAGGTGTTTGTACCTGTTTCTGAATTTGCATCGTTCGCTATTAGCAAGTGAAGTTCCCAAAGCCTTTGCTTGATCTACGTCCTTGTGGTGACTGACTGGGGAAGGCAGCTGTTCCTCAGTTTTATTGTGAGTGCCTTCTGACCGTCGAGACTCCTCTTCTGGCACTGCCTCTGATCATTTCTCTTCCTGTTCATAAGGTTTTCAATCATGAATCACTCGGAATGGAACAAATGGTTTCTTCTTAGTCTGTTCATAGTCTGGAAGCTCTGTTGAAACCTATTCATCTTGGGTGTCAAATACTGGTGACATCTCCCCCAGCATCACAGCACAAGCAAGCCACCACAGTACCACAGACAAGTGAAATTGCTACTAGAGATAATAGATGTTCTGAACCCAAGGCCTGTATATGGGCGGCTAATTGTTCAGTTCAACTTATGTACGTTTTTAAAGTTTTGTTTTAATTTTTACTTTTAGAAAACTCAATTTGTTTAAAACTCATGTGCATTTATAATGTGCCATCCAAGTCCGTTCCCCACTTTTAATTGTTTCTGCCTTTTTGTTACTGAGTTATTCTTGGAAAACTGTGGACCTCCCGTTCAGACCACCCAAGAAAAGGCCTTGACCCTAGAACAGCTCTCATGAAGACTGGGAACTGGTCTCTCACTCTTCCTGCCCCATCTTCCAATCAAAGAAGCCTTCCTCCTGTTTGGGGGATACACGAAATTTCTCTGACTCTTATATAGGTAGAATGACCCTGCTGGTCATGGGAGTTCAGTGCCCACTAATGAAGCTCATTAAATTTCTCTATGAGAGTGAAGTATTACATGATTGATAGGGTCTTTTTGTTGACAACCTTGAACCCTGGCACAACAGTTACAGTATTTTTTCTCCTCCTAGCTATGCTCATTGTCTACGTGCCTGCTCTTAATCCACAACACAAAGACCCTGTGCCATGGAGTTGATTCTGACGCATCCTCCCCTGAGGGACAGATAGGACTCCCCAGGGTCTTGAAGAGCTAGTCTTTACAGGAACAGACAGCCCTACTTCTCTTATACTGAGCAGCTGGTTGGTTTGAGCAATGACCTTTTTATCAGATGGGCATATTGTGATTCTTCTCTCTCAGTATTTAATTTGTTAATTTTTCATAATTTGAATGACCAAAGCTTTTCATGTTCTTGAGTTCTAATGTTATCAGTTTATATTCTTGTGGTTATTGCTTTCTGGATTCTAGAATGTTGATTATCCGTAGGATATCTAAATATTATTTCTATAAATTTTGCAGTTTTAGTGGTGCGCCTGTCAGAGATTAATCTTGAATACGTTTTTTTGTGTGTAGGTAAAGTTCAGATCCATGTTCTACCCTCCATCTAAATATCCAGTTAATTGAGTCCCAGAGATTGAAGATTTTTCTTTCCCCATTAAATTCGCACAAAAGAATTTGTCAAAAATCAGTTGACTTTATAAGTATGGGTCTATTTCTAGCCTTTTTATTCCCTTGATCAATTTGTCTTTATACCAATACTAGTTATTTTGTCACTTGTAATTTCTTTTTTTCCTTTTTTTTTAGTGATTTGGCTACTGTAGGTATTTTTCATTTCCATGTATATGTTAGATGTAGATTCTCAATTGTCTAAAAGTTTGTTAATGTAGATCAACTTTGAGTGAATTCATATTTTAATACTGAACATGTTGAGTTTTGCCGTCCATAGACACTTATTGATTTTTCCTTAATTTTTTTTCAATGTAGAAATCAATTTTATTCTTCAATAATTCATTTCTAGTACATAGAAATTTGTATATATTAACCTTAAATTCTGTGACCTTAATTCACTCACTTCCTTATTACTTGTTCCCTCAATTTTTTAGGATTTTCTGTAATCACTATCATACTGCAACCTAAGATAGGCTTATGACTCTGAGCTATATTTTCCTCTGCTAGACTTTTCTGCCAATCTGGTTCCAGCTCTTCCCAGAAGTTAATCAACTCTCTACTAATGTGTTGTCCCTTCCCTTCCAATTCTCAGCGATTTTATGAATATCCCCTACGTTCTTAGATTATTTCAGTGAGATTTTGAGAAGAAAATGGAAGGTCTGGGTAGTTTTACTTAAATGGGTTACATTGTCTAAAACTCCTCAGTTGCTTCCAATTGACTTTAAGTGAACTCTTGGAATGACTTTCCATGTGCAACAAGGTCTGCGTTGTCTGCCGCATGCTTCTCCAGCCTGGCCTCCTGAGACCACGTCCTGTGCTTTGGCTCTCTTGCCCTTCTCTTTGAGAAGGAGTTAAGCAACTGTGTACTATATGGCTTTGCACTCGTTGTTTTTCTCTGCGTGCAGCACTTCGCACCCTCCTGCCCTTTGGGCTGTCACGAAACGTTGCCTCTAAAGCTCATGTCTTTCATGACCTTCGGATACCTACTGACTCCATTCTTTTTCTTCATAGCATGTGTCATGGTTTGTAATTACAAATATTTTTTTAAATTTCTTGGTAAATACACATATTGTAGAATAACTTTAGAATTAGAACTGATAGTAGATGTGTTAAAATAAAATAGTTTGTCAATAATGTAGATCAACTTTGAGAGGTGAATAGAATTTGCAGTATTTCCCAGTGGGTGACACTGCCCCCTCAGGAGCGCGTGAATGATCCAGGATGGGCTGCCCTCGCTCTAGAGACTGGGTTATAGTGCAGAGGTACTGCTGGGGTGGGGAAATGAGGCCTGGGTTTTCTGAGAAGGGAATGAATGCCAAATAGGTTTGGGAACTTATGTTCTGTGTCTTGGAGACAGGTAATTAAAGTTACCTTTGAGCTTATTCTGATTTCCGACCACTTTGTAGTAGTCAGTTTTATACCATGATGCTTATGCCTTTTCTAGCCTCCAGAGAAACAGAGGTCAAGGTAGATTAGATATGTAGGTGATTTATTAGAGGAAACACCTGTGAGGAGTAAAGAGGAGGGAGTGAGGCACGGTTGTCTGGCTGAGGGGAGGATAGCAGTACAAGTGACAGAAGGGGAGGGAGAAGGATTACAGCACAGTCCTGAGAAGATTTCGGCCAAACCAGTGAAAAGGTCTCAAGTCACAGTTGTTCACCCAATGAGTTCTCTCTGTCTCACAGGCACGAATGGGCCTGAATTAGTACGCCGCTGTCCTCCGTCACTGGCTGAGAGCAGACAGTAGAGAGCATGCCTGGGTGTGACAGCAGCTATGGACCCAGAGGGACAGTAGCTGGGCCCATCAGACGCCTGTAATCTCAATAGCAGGAGATCTAAGTACATTTTCATGACCCGCACACTGCTGTTTTTATCTTTACTGTCTCGCACTTGAACATGTGTAAGTTCTCTCCCATCAATGAAATGCAGAGATTCTAGCTTTTAGTATTGAAAAAAGCATCCAGAAGGCTGTACATTCGTGACTCAGCACTCCAGAGCAGGCTTTTAGCATGAGGTTATGGGTGGGGAGTATACTTTCCCCTATGGCTCATGTTTGGTCTTTAGTTGAGTGCTACTTCACAGCAGTGCTGCCATCTTTTCAGCACCTAGAGATAGGGGAGGCCACATGAGAGCTTCTTCAGACTGACTTTAGAACTATCTAGAAGCCACCACCGGATGCATCAGACTCCTGATAATGACAGTGCAGGAAGTGTTGCATATATATATAAGATATTGTATACACGCCAGTGTTACTTACCGTTGGAGAGATCAGAAAGTATGATTAAAGTACTATTTCATATTTTCATTCATGTAACTCATTGCCGTTGAGCCAATTCTGACTCGGTAACTGTGTAAGGATAGAGGAAAACTGTCCCACAGGGTTTCCAAGGCTGTGAACGTTCAGAGACACAGGCTGCCCAGCCTCTCTGCTGTGCGGGGCTCCAGCAGCAGTGGAGCGCTTCACCGCTGCGCCACCTGGGCATCTTTTCAGATCCCTTATGTATCTAGTGGAAGAATAGAAAGCTTAGGTTTTATGGAAGCTTTCAGGTTAAACTGAAAACTATATAATAATTTTTATTTTAAAGCTTGTTTTTACCTTGGTCAAGGGCTACATATAAGGGGTAGACAATATTTTAGGACTGATTATATCATGCTAAGCGGAATCACAGACGAATGCTTTTCAATTTTGCAGTAGTCTGTTTATAAGAATATAATGTGGATCCTAGTTAATAAAGAACATATGCTTGCTTCCTGCCTTGAGATCTTGAGCCTTTCCTTCACATGTCGGTCATATAAAGGAGTATTTTCTGCTTAGTTTCAAGGTGGTTATAAAGTAATCTACTCTCCAAAGGATCCTTGAGGTCAAAGGGTTTGGGTTTATGGTGAGCGGGGTGAACTTTGATGTTTCCTAACCCAAGTTTTTGTTATGGCATGTAGTGTTACCTGAATCAAATAGTCCATTATTATACCTCTAATTTGATATTTCTCTTTAATTTTTTTTTCTCTTTGAAGAATATTTTGTACTTCTAACACTTCTCTTTCTTCTTGATGTTACACTCGTTTTTCTTTATTTCTAGGGCACAGTTAATAAAGTGTCTTCCAGCCACATCGGCTGTTTAGTCCATGGCTGTTTCAATGCCTCTATCCCTAAACCGGAGCAGATGCCACCTGAGCAGTGGCAAACCCTGGAGATAAGTGTGGGAGATGAACTTGAATTTGAAGTCTTCCGCTTAGACTCTGATGCGGCTGGAGTCTTTTGCATTCGAGGAAAACTAAACGTGGCCAGGTCAGTTTGGTGCCAGTGTTTTTACCAGATATTTTTATTAATTTTTTTGTTGTGTAGAAATTAGAAAGTGTGATTGCCTCTATAATGAACATTTTGTTTACAAGAGTATTCTTCTGAACCATAAACAACAATATAAATGGAAATCTTAAGTGTTTTGACAGTGCATCAAATTAAGTATTCTACAGCACAGCTTATAACAAATTGGTTTGGTTTTATAACTGATTTTGCTAGGCACTTTGTAATTTATTAGTTTTAAAAACTTGGTATCTGAACTTGAAAGTGTTAAATGTATAATTCTATTGTATAACTCTTGAACTACTTTTAATTTTATATAATTGAAACAAATTATTTAATTATTGTCATCTGTGCCCGGAAGGAATATTAACTTCTGGATTATTCTGTACTAAAATTCTTATACAAATTAATCTTGAGTTTGGTTCCACAGGAAAGAAGCTTAGTGGATAAAGGGTGTCTTGAAACTTAGTAGGCTGTGTTCACAATTTTTTTCTAGATTTGTGTCAGTTAATTTCTGGTAACTTGCCTGGATTCATGTTAGAGAGCATCTGTCCAATTAGAACTTTCTAAGCAATCCTGAGCTGCCCTTCACTACTGAGCTCTTGAAATGGGGCTCATGAAATTACAGAAATAAGTTTTCAAACATTGAACCTAGATTAACATAAATTTAAATGGTCACCTGTGGCTAATGATAATTGTATACAGCAGTGTCGTTTTGGGAAGAGAGCTGCTTCGTTGGTCTTTTTAATTTCGAGATATAACAACATTGAAGTAGGTAGAAGTGCCCCTGTAGTTTCCAAGACTTAACTGTATATGGGGGATCCTTCACAAAGCTTGTGGAAAAATTCCATTATATTTAAAATGTTTATTTTCACAGACTTATTGCCCCTCATATTTTCTCTTGTCACGTGTTAATGGTCTGACTCATAAGCCTGGATGTTGTTGTAATGTTCAGTGACCACTCTTTGCTATGCACCGAAAATTAAGGCATGCTTTGAGACGTTTATGAGTAAAAAATCATCTGGTAGAAAGAGCTACTATGATAGGGATCTTTCCCAGGTATTTCAGCAAGTTGAGGGATGACAGTATGAAGTATTTGAATTGTATGTCATAGCGATGCAGCTTTCATTTCTCCCATTATTTAGAAAATCTTGGTGTACTGGGATATGTTTGGTTTAACTTTATTCCTTTATTTTTGTTCTGTACTGTATTAGTATTTTAAATTCTTAATTTACAGTTTGCAAGCCAAGTGTTCTCAAGTTTCTGAAGAAGCAACAGAAACCACCACTGAAGAAACTGTTGAAAATCCTCCACAGAAAAAGAAGAAAAACCTAGAGACGTCCAGAGAGGGAGAGGCTGCCGCAGAGCTGGTAGCTGTCTCGGTAAAGGGAGAAGCCGGGCTGCAGACCAATGGCAGTGCAGAGGGCCTCGGTGGGGAGCAGCCCCAGGAGAAGAAGAAGGAGAGGAAGAAGAGAAAGCCCCGGGAAGCTCCGGATCCAGACCCTGTTCTCCCAGGCAGTGACTCCAGCGGCTACCAAAGTGACCGCAAAAAGAAGAAGAAGAAACGAAAATACGAGGAGGCAGCGGTTTCCCCCAATGTGGAACACTCGCCTAAAAAGAAAAGGAAACCGTAATCTTCCTGAACTGCATTTTAAACATGGTCCAGTTTTAATGTGATCATCTCACAGTAGGTGAATCAATGTTTCGAATGATGTGAAATGCATATGTATTTCACATAATTTATGGAAACATTTGAATTTGAGGTGTGTGTATGTGTTAAAATTATGAAACCTGTCTCTAAAGGATTTTAGGGATATTAAAGTGCCAATTTATTATATAAGAATAAAAAATGAAGCTGTTCTTACTCTCGGCTCTTAAGTTCTTTCAGATTTTATATCTAAATCAAATCTTGAGACTAGCAAAAGACTTTATAATTCAATATTGTTCATATTAGGAAAGTGGGTTTATTTTCTTAGTTTTTATCTTTGCTTCCTGATAATGTTTACCTTTACCATGTTATTCTATGCCATTTAATTTTACTTAAGAAGATAATTTCAGGACACTTGCTACTTGTTAAGCGTTTCCTTTCCCATGTTGATTCCAGTCTTACTGTTTGCTGACAGGCTCTCGCTATTGCCAGGAAACTACTCGCCAGGCTTTCCTTCCAGGTGGGCTTGTTTGGCTTTGTTTTCAAGTGTGAGAGGTCGATGGAGGGGAGTGTTTGCTTGTGCTTTTGCATTTATGCCTCAACTGTTTTGCTTCTGTCGTTAGTTTGAGGAGAAGCAGGTGATGAAGATGGAATCATTACGATTTAGAATAGTGGAAACTTTCCAGATTACTTTCTAATGAGTGGAGTAAGCTACTAGGAATTGTTCTAGGAAGAAAAACAACAACACCAACAAAAGACCATTAGCATAGTTTCATTGAGAAAATGGAAAACCAGTAAGTCATTAAACAACACACCAGTCCGGACTGCTAATCCTGACATGGCCATATTCATTCATTTAACAAGCATTTCACCAGCTGCTTCCTGTATAGTGTTCTGTCAAACAGGCTAGTATCGGGACAGATTCACTGAAACAAGTCCATACACATCCATAAACAGAAAATTATTTAAAATTGTATTTTAAAATATAAAACAAAATAATTAAAAATTATGGTAAGAACTATGAAAACAAAAAGTATGTTGTATTAGCCGTGTGTATGGAATTTAGTATTTGTCTCATACTGTTTAGTATGTGATCATTCTGCAAATGCTATTGTTGTTAGGTGCTAGTTGTGATCCTAGTGATTCCTGTGTACAGCAGTTGCCCAGCCCTGTGCCATGCTCTGCATTGTCATGTTTGACCCATTACTGTAGCCACTCTGTCCCTCTTTCTCCGTGAGGGTCCTCTTCTTTTTCACTGCCCTTCCGCTTTATGAAGCCTAATGTCCTTTCCATGAGTTCCTTTTCCTTATTTGTCCAAAGTACATGAGACGAAGTCTTGCCATTCTCGCTTCCAAGAACCCCTCTGGCCGTCGGTTTTTTGGCAGTACATAGTGCTTTCAGTGTTCTTCACTAGCTCCGCAATTTGAATGCATGTGGTTCGTCTTCTCCAGTCTTCCTTACTCAATGTCTGACTTTTAGATGCACAGGAAGCAGTTGGAAGTACCATGGGTTGGGTTAGGTGCACCTTAGTCCTCAGAGGGGTGTGTTTGCTATTCAGTACTTGAAAGATTCTTAAGCAGCGGAATTAATGCATTGCATAGTTCGATCTCTTGACTGCTGCTCCTATTCGTATTGATAATGGACAAGAGCAAAATGAAACCCTTTTTTCCTTTTATCATGAGGTTACTGGGCCAGTTGTGGTGATTTTGGTTTTCTTTACATTGAGTTATAATTCCTATTGAAGGGTGCAATCCTTGATCTTCATCAACAAATTCTTTAAGTCCACACTTTCACCAAGCCAAGTTGTGACATCTGCATATACCTGGTTGTTAATATGCCTTCTTCCAATCCTGATACCATATTCTTCATATTGTCCAGCTCCTCTGATGATGTGCTCAGCATACAGGTGGAATAAGTTTGGTGAGAGGATACAACCCTGATGCACTGTTTTAATCCATGCAGTGTTCGCTTGCTCCCTTGCCTCTTTGTCCTTTTACACATCCTGCAGGAGCACCATAAAGTGATCTGGAATTCTCACTCTCCTCAATACTAGTATTATATCTGGATCAAAATGCATGACAAGATACAGTTGGAAGAGTAAAGTTAACATTGTAGTTGGAAGATTGCTACTTAATAGCTAGACCATTTAGATCCATGGTTGCCTCTGACTCATGTACAACAGAATGAAGCACTGCCCGGCCTGTGCCACCCTCACAGTCCAGTACTATATTCCAGCCCCTTGTCGCAGCCACTGTGTAAATTCTTCTCAGAGGATGTTCTTTCCTGTAAGTAAAATGAAGACTTCCCACCAGCAGCTCTGAGGGAGGAAGGCAGCTTTCTACTCCCATAAGCGGATAAAGTCGCAGAAACCCACATGGAGTCACTATGAGCCATCATTGACTAGATCATGACAATCAGGTTTTTGTTTGTGTGGTTGTTTCTCTTAATTCTGTCCATTAATACAGTAGAGAACACCCTCCAAAATGGGAAGATAGCCCAGGAATGACACTATATCATAAGGAGTTAGGGCTTGAAGGTCCATACTAATTGTCCACAACGCATTCACAGTCCCATGGTCTCAGCTCGGCTTCTCTTGCTCTGCCCCATAATCTCCCGGCGACAGTCTGGTGCCTCGGGTCTTGGCCCCACCACCTCAGAGCTCTCAGAGGTGCGCTTCTCATGTCCTGGGCTTTCTGTCTGCATGAGGTTGACTTTAGACACACATGAAAGGCTCTCGTGGACTTGTGGTTTTTTAGCAAACCATACTCCCAGGGAAACAGGGTGGTGACCAGTCACATCCTCTAGTCGAGTCAAAGATCCCTCCCTCCTTAATCCTGCAACAGGTGAACCACCTTCCCAGATGCGATTATAACTACAGGCAGAGTTGGGAATTTTAAGACATCACTTAAGGCATTATGGCTAAGAAGGGCCACGTTAACTTGACTACATTTCAATAATAAGGCATACTGGTGTGTTTATACATATTTGTGTACATAGATCAACAAGGGCTTTCAAAAAGTTCACTGAAAAAAGAATTGATTTTTTATTGATATATGCATGTGTGTATGTGTGTGTGTGCACAGCCAAAAGCCAAACATGTTTAAAAGTCACAGCAGGTATTGCTTTTATCAAAGCTCAGTCAGGAAATAGCTTTCCAAGAGATGTGTTGCAGGACTGTACAGTAGACCAACATTTAGACACACATGCACACACACAAGTTAGGTCAAAAGGTGTTGCTACTAGGGTCCCAGTTTATAACATTTTAAATGTCTCAGATTAGTGGAGGAGTGTATGTAACTTCTCTCCGTAACACACCTGTCCTAGTCTCCGGGTGCCTTCTACAACAACAAATGCACACTAAAAGAAGCATACAGATTAAAGAGCCAATCCATCATTCTTAAAGAAAACCTAAGCTAGTGAAGATGATGATGGAACAAATGAACTGGAAGCAAGTCTTGGATTTACTGATAATGATAAGAGAGCAAAGTTCAATCAGAACATTGGCTTCCAAGAGGACCTGCAGGGCCACTTAAGTCTGAGGCTGACATGTCAGTTCTGAACGTTGTTAGGGCTACTGCTTAGGAAGGCAACCGGAGAGTCTTGACTTTCCCAGACCCTCCCAATGAGAACTCCACCTAGTGGATACTTTTATTGCAAACTCGTAAAATCCTGAGCAAAGATTCCAGCCATACCTTACTGAACTTCTGATCTACTGAAGGGCTAATTTCAAAAGTCTGTAGAAAACTACAACACCTGAATAAGAAAAATATAAACCATCCAATCGAAAAATGGGTTCAATAAACGAGTGACAATTTACTAAATTTCTGACATTTTGCCAGCCAACTTTTATATGAAGAAATGTTTGCATACATTAGCCATGAGACATAAATATTAAAAATTAATGAGATACCACTTCAAACTAACACTTTTAGCAAAATTATGAATGGATGAATAAAAAGCTGGGGAGGTTGTGGGCATGTTTAAACACTCATACATTCTGGGTGGGATTGTAGACATATACGACTATGTCCACTATGGAAGTCAGTATGGTGTTTCCTTAAATGCAGACACAAATGTGATCCTGCAGTGTCTCTACTTGGCATATACCCTAAAGTAATAAAGAACAAAACACGAGCAGACGTCTGTTTACTGCATCTATGTTTACTGCAGCAATTTCTAAAATAGCAAAAAGATGGAAACAATCACAAACCCAACTATAGAGGCATAGAGAAGCAAATCCTGGTATAATGGAATATGATGCTTCCTTTGAAAATGACAAATCTGTCAAGCACTTTAAGACGGACAGAATTGGCGAGCATATGCTCAGCAAAGGTAGCCAATCTCATAAGGACATACTTTATGAAACCATCTTATCAAGGGGAAAAATGATTTTCACACAGGTAGCCTTAAAGACTACGGGGAGGCCTGGATCGTGGGGATGGGTGGGAGGACAGGGGAGTGCAGTGAAGGTGAGAGGAGGAGAGGGAGGGTGGAAAAAGGGAGGGGATAAAAAAGAATTATGAACTACTGAGTGTTGTTTCAGCCACTAAACTTGTGGTAATTTGTTAACATAGCCATAGAAAATTATCGCTATGTGGCATATTTTGCTATCTGGTTAAAATAACAATTCTGTCAAAATTTCTTTTATATAATAATCTAAAATTAAAATTTAATTTTCTATGATGTGAAAGTGGCTATTGAAGGCCCAACTGTATAGCAGCAGTGGATGAAGGAGAATCTGGAAGAGAAGGAAGAAATCGAGTATGGATTAATCGCATTAACAACTGCCTCTGTGAACCTAGAACTGCGTGGTACCCAGATACCGCTACTGAATGGATGAAAGACTCTACCGAAGTATCCTTATTCATCCTTTTATAATTGCAACACAGAATTTCAAATCCTCACGGAATCCATATTGTGGGGTAGCTTTTGAAACCTATGATAATAGCCTTAAAGCCTTCAAACAAAAATGTGTCCTGAAGAAAACCAAACCCAACCCACTGCCACTCGAATTTGATTCCAATTTGGGACACAGGAGAGCGGCCTCCTATGACTCTGAGTATTTAGAGGGTCGCAGCCGAATGTGTCTTCAATGAACAATCTAACTTAATTAGAAAAGAATATCTTCTTTGAGCATTGTATCATTTAAAATCCACCTATACTGGTTTCAATGAGCAGCAGCAGCAGCTCAAAGGTGAAATGGGAAGCTTAAGAGG